CCTACACCACACACACCTCTCTGATCACGGCGGGGTGTCGCACACCCAGCGCTGTTCGACGGCCATGTCCAGGGGATGGACATGAACAATGACTTGGCCGTGCCCATCCCCTCCCGGCCATCATCACCACCCAGAGGACGACATTTTAGGTTCTGGGTGTTTGGAATGACAGTCTTCCATCTGCAGGGCCAATACTACGCACCGGCGGCAAAACTTTTGAGACTTGTGCACAGCGGCGAGAGTTCTTCGTGAGGGTTGCTTTAGATCATGAAGATGACATGCCGTGGTTTTCAACACCCCGTATGCCTCCATCATGTTAGAAGACATAATCAGATGGAAATTTTTTGTCAGAATGTTTGGATTTGACCTTATGGCATCCCACAAAAAGCAGCATTTGAGGCAGGGTGGAGCAAGCAGGGAGTTGAGAAGTTCGCGCTGCACCTGCAAGCGTCCCAGCGGATGTGTGCAGCACGTCCAGCGGGCGACCTAGCAAGCAAATCCAGCTAGAAAATCCGGTGTCAGGCTCAACCGTCTGCATTCTGAATTCCAGAAAACTAGAACCTCAACAACCTGTCGATACACACGTCGCGAGCTGGGGTAAAGACGAAAACCCTCGGCAAGTTTTGTTTCACAACAACTAAGGCGTATAACCCGTTTACTTCGCGACAAAACGAACCCCTAGTCACATTTGGCCAGCGCAAACTGGGAATGAGGGAAAGTAGTCTACGGTAGCTGTGCTGTGCGTGCGTCCAGCGAGGCTGTGTAATAATTACAAATATTTTAATAATCTATATAAGTCATTTTTGACCTGTGGCGGGAGTTGGGCCTGCAGGTCCCGCACAGCAGGGAGGCTGCGTGGCCGGTCCAGCGGCACGAGCCTGACGAATGTGGGACGAGATGCACCTACGTGATTGAGGTTCTCGTCAATCATACATAGCCTGCTCAGGTCAGTCAGCGGAGCACGCTGCGAAGGGTGTTGTCACGCACACCGCAGGCGACGTTCCGTCGGAAAAGTGGCAACATGCGCCGGCTCCATTGAGCAGGCCACCCGCCAACTCAAACGGCCGTTGATCATACCATGCCTGTGCACAGACAACCCCTTCTGGACGCAAGGCGGCTGCGCTGCACCATGTGGGAACATAGGTGGTGGACGTTGACCGTGCTGCTGCTGACAGCCATGAGAGCGTCAGCCAAGGCACAGACATGCAGCACGGTGCAGAACGCAACGTGCACCCCAGGTGCTACCTGCGACGCCAAGACGCAGGGCGGGACGACGACCATCACGTGCTCATGCCCAACTGGCTTCATAGGCGACGGCAAAGTGCTGGGCACAGGATGCTCACGTAAGAGGAGGAGTGCGGGCCAGCAGCAGCCAGCACGTTGGGGCAATAATTTAATAGTAAATGATGCTGTTCGTCTGGGTGCTCTCACCTTTGTGTCAACTAAGAGCTCTCCCTGCCCACGGTTATGGTTTGCCGCTGGCTTGCGCAGCCGACAGCGCTTGTGCCCGGAACAATCCGTGCCCCAATGGCGCAACGTGCGCCAACACCAATGGCACATACATCTGCACCTGTCCGTTTGGATTCGAGGACCCTGCAAAGGGCAACAAGTGCAAAGGTGAGGGGCGGTTGGCCGCCTGTAAGACACAGAACTGACATGATCACCTGGATTTGGAGCGACAAGGGGGCAGGGCCAGGCGGGTGCCTGCCGATTGAGGGCGCGGATGATACACTGATTGGTCCAACAACACGCAGTCAAGCCTGGGTTAGGGGTCGCCAGGGGATTTGATCAGGCTGGCACACTGCAATGATGCCAAGCCCACCCCCTCACGCCCGTCTCACTGGCGCTGCCGCGGCATATCGATTGGCTATGTGTCACAGACATCAAAGAGTGTACCCAGGTTCCAGCTGTGTGCGTGAGCGGGGCAGTATGCACCAATTTGCAAGGCGGCTACACCTGCACATGTCCTTCAGGCTACACGGGCGATGGCAAGGTTGATGGCACTGGTTGCATCGGTGAGATTGTACGGGATGCCTACGGCGCTGTCGAATCATGAGTGCAGACAGCAGCAGCAGCAGCAGCAGTAGCAGCAGCAGCAGCAGCAGCAGCAGCAGCAGCAGCAGCAGCAGCAGCGAGACACAAGCAACACCGACTAATGCTGATGGCGACAGAACGTACAAATTTTTGCATTTGCATGAGTCAAGAACGCCCGAGCACACTTATTTTGTGACACCAGCCGCGACAGCAGCACTGCAAACGGAGCGAACCCAGTCACCTTAGGAAAGGCGGTGGCGGCAAGCGTGGTGGCTCCACACAGGGGCAGCACTGGCGGCAGCATCAATGGGGTTTGTACGCAGTGGCACAGCGCAGAAGCCACAGCACATGCGCCGCTCTGCAGCAAGTGCGGTGTATATAGGAAGCACAGCAAACGCAGCCGGCAACCTTTGCAGAGCTGCCAAGCAGCTGTGCGGCCAAGCACATGGGTCAAACATGCATGTGTGCAGAGCAGTTGTTGCCCCTGAGTCTTGATATTTTGAGCCAATACTGCCCCTGCACATCCAAAACCGCTATCACTCACGCAGACATGAATGAATGCAATCAGGCCGTTTCACCGTGTGCTGGTGGTGCTGCGGTCTGCACAAACCTGCCTGGCACCTATAACTGCTCCTGTCCGAGCGGCTACACTGGCAACGGGAGGACACCGGCTGCCGGCGGAACAGGGTGCCAGGGTAGGTGAAACGTTTGCATGCAGCAAACACAACGGAATCGCACCTGAATTGTTCCAAAAGGTTCTCTTGTTAGCAAGCCCCAACATAAACGGTTCACTTGCCATACTTGTGATCAAACTATCCAGACATAAACGAGTGCAACGCGGCCACGTCACCTTGCACTGGTGGCGCCACGGCATGCACCAACACGGCTGGCAGCTTCACGTGCTCTTGCCCAAGCGGCTTCACCGGCGATGGCAGGACGCTCGCTGCTGGTGGCGTGGGGTGTTCAGGTGACTGGGACGCGCGTCATACGTCAGCAGTGCCATGTGCAGCAGCAACCGTCCTCGAAATGCTTTGCTTCACTGAGCACAAGGCGGTATTTTTGCAACCAATCGATTTGCAGCAATGCAGCCATATGCCAAAAGATTGCCTCTTATGTACACGCGCGCACACACACACACACACACACACACACACACACACACACACACACACACACACACCACTGGAAATTCCACAGATGTCAATGAGTGCGCCGCAAGTGTGTCCCCTTGTGTGGCCAAATCCCTGGCCTGCATCAACACTGCTGGCAGCTACAACTGTACCTGCCCCGCGGGCTACTCTGGCGACGGCAAGACTGGCGGCTCAGGGTGCCAAGGTCGGTGCAATGCGTGACCCAGTGACGACTGGCGTTAATTGCATGTTCTTTTCACACCAACGGCATCAGCACAAGTAGTACCAGCACGATAGCCAGCACCAGTATCAAACCTCAGGTGCAGGCAGGCCAAGCGCGTCAAAGGAAGAAACCGTGGCAGCACATTTGTAGAAGAAAACTATGGCGACAGCAACCGCAGCTCCCGCATCCACCGCACGCATCCACTTCTGTACATCTGTACCAGACCTGGTTGCGGGGCAAGCACAGCAACGGCTTGTACAAAGCAGTATCCTGGAAAACAATGCACCTTTCGCTTGCCTGCAGACGTGAACGAGTGCGCGGCGGTGCCGTCCCCCTGCGTCAATGGCTCGGCGTACTGCACCAACACGGCCGGCAACTACAGCTGCTCCTGCCCCGCTGGCTACACGGGCGACGGCAAGACGCTGGCCGCCGGCGGCTCAGGGTGCTCAGGTGCGCGACCCTGCGTGTGTGCGCGGTGCCTCAGCAGCGGCGATACTCTAGCGGCTGCCGCTGTTGCCGTGCGCAGGTACAGCGGCTTTGGCACCCTGCTGCAGCCCACCCCTGGCTGGCTCCCAGCTGAATCATTGTGAAAGACCCAACGCACC